GATGATGGGCTCAAGTATAGCAGGGATTGTGGGGCTGGCGCGGGATCGGGCAGTGTTTCGTTCTGCTGTGCGTGGGGTCGCTATGAGTCGGAAATGACTCGACGGCACTTAACAACAACAACAACAAGGGGGACATGTAGAAGTGGTGCCCATCCTAATCTTTTGGAGTCAGAGAGCGTCACCTTCTTTTATGACATAAAAATGTAATATCACATGTGTTTTATCCCATGCATCGAGTTGGACCTGACTCATAGTGACCCCTCCTTGGGTTTCTGAGGCAGTATCATTACGGAAGTAGATTGCCCCATCTTCCTTCCGAGGAGTGGCTGTGGGTTTGAACCGCCAGCCTTCTGGTTAGCAGTCAAGTGCCTTAGGCACTATGCTACCAGAGCTCCCAAAAAAGAGACAGCCCCGGCTACCTGGCAGGGAGTGGCCAGTGGGTTTGAACCGCCAGCCTTGGGTGTGACAGCTGACTACAAATTTGGTAATAGTGAAGATGTAGTGACTTAAAAAATCATTACCCACTTTATTACTCGAAGTTCTGCTATATTTATTTCCCTTTTTTCAGACTATATATTTTTGTAAAATTAACATTCCTTACACCTCCACAGTCCAGCACATAACAACAACAACAACACACTTTAGTACTTATCTAGCCTGAAAGTTTGCTTGCTCTGGGAGGTTAACTATTTGTGAGAACAATGGCTATTGTCTGCTGTCCAGCACACCTTTCCTCCTGTTTCCTTCTGTTGCAGAACCTGTTCTCCAGCAGCAGGCATGTGACTTAATTAGCACCATTTAATAGCACCAAGCTGGTGCTTGGTCAGGGATGGGCACATGACCTAAACTAGCCAGAGGCCTCTCCTGGGATTTCTCTAACTGAAACTGGAGAGAAGAGTTAGTTGTTTTTTCTCTCTGATTGGGAAGGCTATACAGTTATAATTCCAGAAATACTTATGGCCACATTTCCTGCTACAGTGAAACCTGTTTTTCACCTTTGATATGATGCAGTCTTATCGCTTGACTATCACTCTCTGTTAGTGGAAAATATTTGCGTTTCCCTCTGACAGGTTTCTGCCTTACACGGTTTTCTCGGCTTTCACAGGTTTATTGTGCATACAGAAAGCCAGAGGGAGAAGTGCAATCAGTAGGCAGAAAGCAGAAGAGTCTAAGGATGGGGGAGACAGAAGGCGAGGTTGGAAGAGGGGGAAGGACAAGGACAAAGGCCATGAGTCCCTTTATCCAGTAATACGTCCACCCTTTCATCAGTTTATCAGTATGAACCAATAATTTATTCTTTTTAAATAGAATTAGTCCTAGTTTGGGAGCTCTGGTGGTGTAGTGCCTAAGGCATTTGACTGCTAACTAGAAGGCTGGCTGTTCAAACCACCAGCCACTGCTCGGAAGGAAGATGGGGCAGTCTACTTCCGTAGTCATACCACCTTGGAAACCCAAGGAGGGCTTGCTATGAGTCGGATCCAACTCGAAGGCAGTGAGTTTGGTTTTTGATTTTGGTTTAGTCCTAGTTTGATGTCTGCCATTGCAAATAAGACAGCTCTAATACAGCAAAGTGGTTGTTCTTTTTTTTGTTACTTCTCTAATGCCTAGGTTTTAAAAGAGTGAATAATAGTTTAATACCTTTTTAATGTGATAAGAAAATCAGTAATAATCACACATTTCACACGTGAATTATTTTATTGTATACATCTTAAATAATAAACTAGTAAAAATCCTCTTATGTAGTTGAAGGCATGTAGATTTTTCCCAAAATTAACCACACATTTAAAATCCTTTCTTTTACCCGCTGCACATGCTATACATTCTTATGTTAATGATAATAATACTGGATAGCTTCAAAAGGACCCTGTTCTGATTACCTAGTGCCGCTCTGACGAGAAATACACCACAAATGGGATGGTCTTAACAAACAGGAGTTTATTCTTACAATTTTAAGTCCAAGTTCAAAGTGCCAGGCTCTAGGGGCTGGGTGAAAGCCCCTCAACCTTGGTCCAGCTCTGCCTCCTGCTCCCAGCGCATTGAAGCTAGAGGCATTTCTTCACTCAGACAGCTGCTGGCTGCTGAGGCTGAGAAGCCCCAAGGTTGACAAGTGAAAAGTCACAGTCCCCATGTTACCAAACCACACAGCAGGCCATTAACATAAGTCCACTGTAAGTCCCAAGGTCAGCAGAGCAAAGCAGGCTGCTGAGCAACAACACAGTTACACGCACGGTCCAAGCGTACCATAGGCTAGAGACGATTCCCAAGCCTTCTCCTCAAATACAGGAAGCAGACCACATAGCTACTCAGCTGCTTGTGGTAGATTCCACCATGGAGCTGATTGCCAGTCTCATCATGGGGAATAACTATCACCAGCTGCCCAGCCACTCAATCAGGCCCAGCCAAGTTGACACACAAACATAACTACCACAGACCCTCATCCATTCAGTTTTTATATCTCAATCTGATGCTTTGTACTACATTTACATTAACCTGCTGATCTTAAATAAAATGCATCTCATAACACATATTTTTTTTCTCTTTCAGAAAAAGAATTCTAAAAGTAAACCAGCTAAAAAGAAAATTCCAAGAGATTATGCAGAATGGGATAAGTACGTTCTGTTTTTCTGTATAAATTTGTCATTGAAAGATTTTCCACCATAAATTACTGTAATAACTGCTTAAATAGTTATTATAAAACTGCCTCTGTTAAGAATACTAAAAATATCTAAGCTAAGCCCTTTTAATTATTTTTTTTTCATTAAAGAAAACACTACTGCATCTTTTTGTTTATAAAACCATCCAAAAATATTTAACATAATTCTTATGCCCCTCTAAAATGAAAAAGAAGAAAATATTAAAAACAGAGAGATTGATCAGTTATAATTGCAAAGTTCTGAACAGTATAAAGACCAAAAAAAAAAAAACTCTCTGCCATGAGTCGAATCCAACTCATAGCGACCCCCACTGGTTTTCTGAGGCTGTAAATCTTTACGGAAGTAGATCACCCCATCTTCCTTCTGTGGAACAGGTGGTGGGCTTGAACTGCTGACCTTCTGGTCAGCAGCCAAATGCCTTGTCCACTAGCCACCAGAGCTCCTCTGAACATCTCATTGATTTTTTAATAATTTTTTGTTGCTTGTTGGGAATATACACAGCAGAATATATACCAATTCAATAATTTCTACATGTATAATTCACTAATTTCTACCTGTACAATTCAATGACACTGATCACGCTCTTCAAGTTATGCAATCATTCTTACCTCCCTTTTCCGAATTGTTCCGTAAACTCACTGCCCCATAAGTTTCCTATCTAATCTTTTGAGTTGCTCTTGTCAATTTGAACCCATATAGATAGTTGTTAGGCGCTCTGGTGGCATAGAGCCTAAGGTATTTGACTGCTAACCAGAAGGCTGGTGGTTCAAACCTACCAGCCACTCCTTGGAAGGACGATTGGGCAATCTACTTCCATAGTGATACCCCTGGGAAGCCCAAGGAGGGGTCGCTATGAGTCGGATGCGACTCCAGGACAGTGACTGAGATAGTTGTTAAAAGAGCCCAATGCTCAAGGCAGACATTCTTCACTAATTAAGCTAAACTATTGTTTGATTTGAAGAAGACTTCAGGGGATGTTTTTGGTGTAAGGTTTAACACTTGTCTTAGGGCAATAATTTCAGAAGTTCATCCAGCCTCATTGGCTCAAGTAAGTCTAGATTCCGTGAAAATTTGAAATTCTTTTTCTCATTTTCCTCGTTTTGGTCAGGATTCTTCTGTAGAATCTTTGTAGATATGATTAATTTTCAAGTCTTCACTATATTGCATGTTTTCTGAGAGGAAATATGAATGACTTATAATACAAGCCTATTATGAATATGTGTTCAAAGGCACAAGGATATACATATAAGAATATAAATAATAAAGTATATTTTTTTTGCTTGTATTACACCTTTTTAAATTTTTATTCTTTCATTTAAGATTTGATGTGGAAAAGGAATGTTCAAAAATTGATGAAGATTACAAAGAAAACATTGTAACAAACAAGGCACATTTATCTAAAATTGAGACAAGAATAGACACAGCAGGTAATTGGCGGGGGGTGGGGAGCGGAGTGAGGAACAGGAATAATTTCAGGAGTTTAAAACATGTTTGAATTTTAACAAAAGCTGTTTACCTGCTAGCCATCCTCCTTAATTGCTACAGAATTTTATTGAAAGTTTATCAGTCTTGCCCTGGTGTTAGCCACCACTAACAAATTCAATTCTATCTTTTAAATACATAATTTTTTAAGGTAATAGTTATAATACTTGAATTTAGTAAGAATCTAAAATATAAACCTGTTTTTCTTAACCATAATTCATTTGTTTTTCCTTTTTTCAAATTTTTTTTCTCCAAATTCCTCAATTTTTTTCTTTGCCTCAAAACAAAAGGATGGAGCAGTTTGTTTTCATTTGATGAGCATTAAATGAGTAGCGTTTAAATTTGAAATAAATCAATTATAAAAAAAAAAGTATGCCCTCAAAAACTATAAATGATTAAAAAAGAAATGAAACATCTTTAAACTTAGGAATAAACCCTTTGCTTTACTTTATAATTTTCTACTTCTACTGTAGAAATAGGCATTCTTTTATTTATTTTCCCTTTAACCACACTTAATTTATTTGGTACCATAGTATTTTTGGGAGCTCTGGTAGCATAGTGGCTAAGACACTTGCCTGCTAACCAGACGGCTGGCGGTTCAAACCCACCAGCCACTCCTCGGAAGGAAGGTTGGGCAATCCTACTTCCGTAGTGATACTGCCTCGGAAACCCAAGGAGGGGTCGCTATGAGTCGGGGCCAACTCGACGGCATATAACAACAACAACAATAGTATTTTTTAAAAGTAATTTATTTTATGTTTGCTGTTGTTGAGAATATATACAACAGAACATAAAGTAGTTCAACAGTTTCTAAATGTATGATTCAGTGACATTGATTACATTCTTTGAGTTTTGCAACCGTTCTCACCCCTCTTTTCTGAGTTTTCCCTCCTCCATCATATAAACTCACTGCCTTCTAAATTTCCCATCTCATCTTTCCAGACGCTGTTATAAATTTCATGCCATATACATAGATCACAGTGCCCAAGGCACACATTCTGTACTATTGTTTGGCTTAAAGGAGACTTGAGAGAATACTTTAGGTTTAAGGTTTAATGCTTATCTCAGGACAGAGAGTACACCTACTCCTGATCTATCCAGCATTTCACATTTACAACAATAATAAAACATCTACTATCCAATATTTTACATATTAATGACGCATGTCTGGCAGTAATAAATGCAGAGGTGTGAGTCAAGAGTAACATAGGCTGTGATGGTTCTGTGTCAACTTGGCTGGGCCATGGTTCTCAGTGGTTTGACAGTTATGTGATGATGTAGTTACCCTCCATTTTGTGATCTGATGTGGTCATCCTGCATTTTTGCATGATGCTGATTTTTGCATAACGAACTGGTCTTTGGAACCTAAACATGTCAGTAAGTGAAGAGTAAGTGTAGTTTCAGGAGGTAGAACGGAAGCACTGACCACATTATTAGGCCATGTAACTGGGCTGTCCTATGATACTATGACCCTAAGCCTCCAAATCAAGTAACCAAATCCCATGAGGTGTTTGGTTGTACATAAGCAGCCACAGCAGCCACTCTTTTTTTTTTTTTTTTTTTTGTCAATATATCTATCACACAACTTTTGTCAATTCAACCTTTTAAAAATAAGCATTCTTGAATTTAAATTTGAAAAAATTATACTGAACTATATTTTCATATAACAGAAACATTTATATTTAGGTCTAACTGATAGAGAAAAGGATTTTCTTGCAACTCATGAAAAGGAAAAAGGAAATGAAGCTTTCAACTCAGGGGATTATGAAGAGGCTGTGATGTATTATACTAGGTGAGCCAATTTTTGTTGTGGTCTGTACTTGCCTTTTAAAAAATGATAATGCTTAAATTTAATTATTGAGTTGATATAAGCCAGTAGTCTATGCCAAAATCATTCAAGAAATTATACTTATGTTTTGTCATAAATTCACTTATGTTTGTCTTGTTTTTTCAATATTTATCTCAAACTTCCAACCTCCTATCCCACCACTATTTTTGACAGATGACTTAACATTCCTATTTTTCAGAGAAAATAGAAGCTATTAGAAAGGACCTTGATAAAAAGTTCATAAAGTATACCTGTTGTCATCAAGTTGTTTCTAACTCATAGTGATCCTATACAACAGAGTAGAACTTCTTTATAGGGTTTCAAAGACTAAATCTTTATGTAAGCAAACTGCTACATTTTTCATCTGTGGAGCAGTTGGTGGGTTCAAACTACAGCCCTTTTGTTTGGCAACCAAGTTAACTGGTATGTCACCAAGCCTCTTTTCATATAATCAAAAAAACTCCGAACTCACTGCCATGGAGTCAATTACAACTCATAGTGACCCCTTTTGGGTTTTCGAGGTGGTAAATCTTTATGGAAGTAGATTGCCCTGTCTTCCTTCCATGGAGTGGCTGGTGGGTTTGAACCACCAACCTTCTGGTTAGCAGTCAAATGCCTTAGGTACTACACCACCAGAGCTCCTTTTCATATAGCATAAACCAAAATCCAAATTCACCGCTGTGGAGTCGGATCCAACTCATCGCAACCCCTCCTTGTGTTTCCGAGGTGGTATCACTACGGGAAGTAGATTGCCCAACCTTACTTCCAAGGAGTGGCTGGTAGGTTTGAACTGCCAGGCTTCTGGTTAGTAGTCAAATGCCTTAGGCACTATACCATCAGAGCTCCCTTTCATATAGCACAGAGATCAAGAAATTGGTTTCCAGAGTCAAATTGCCTAGATCTATCATAGTAATTGTACATCTCCCTTCTACCACAGGACCTTTGCACATGTTGGGTTTGCTGTTTGGAATGCTCTTCCTCCTCTTATTATTTTATTAACTGTATTTTATACTTCAGGTCACAGCCCATGCCTTTCTTCCTCAGAGAAATCTTTCCTGACCTCTCAACCCACCAAATCCATTGCCATAGAGTTGTCTGACTCATAGTGACCCCATTGGGTTCCTGAGGTGGTAAAACTTTATGGAAGTAGATTGCCTGGTCTTCCTTCTGTGGAGTGGATGGTGGGTTTGAACCACCAACCTTCTGGTTGACAGTCACATGCTTTAGGCACTGCACCACCAGATCTCCTTTTCCTGACCTTCTAGACTAGGTCATTTAATTTATAGGCACTTATAGCAGTCCTCTTTCTCCTTTGTAGCATGTGTTATAGGTATGACTTAAGTTTGTGTGATGTGACCTGGCAATCTGCTCCCATAAGGATTATAGCCTAGGAAACCCTGTAAGGCAGTTCTACTCTGTCATACAGCTTTGTTATGAGGCAGAATCAACTCAGTGGCACATTACAACATGTGTACTTACATTCTCACATTGCCAGTAAAGCCTGAGTTAACTTTAAACCTTTTAACTGAATATTTAAGCATCTATGTAAACTGGGCAATCTACTTCTGTATAGACACCGCTTTGGAAACCAAAGGAGGGGTCGCTATGAGTTGGAATCGGCTCGACAGCAGTGAGTTTTGTTTTGTTTTGTTTTTAATGTAATTATTGCCTTTAGTGTATTTTGTGTGTTTGTAGAATTGTATTTTATTACTTTTGATGATATAGGCTATAATTGTTTCATTTACAACTGATGCTCAGTTTTTCTATATTTTTAAGTTTACCTGAAGTGTACTTGGTACCAGTAAGTGTTTCTTTTACAGGAGTATATCAGTGCTTCCTACTGTGCCTGCATATAACAATCGAGCTCAAGCAGAAATCAAATTACAGAATTGGAATAGTGCTTTTCAGGACTGTGAAAAAGTCTTGGAGTTGGAGCCTGGAAACCTAAAGGGTAAAAAATATTCATAGAATATTAAAAAAATTTGTAGAAGGATCCATTATCATTTTTAGACATTCATTACATGTATACTAAAAATATTTAAGATAAATTTGTTCTTGTGGGTCATCACCTTCATAAAATTACTTTTAAGTTCAATCTGGGATGTAAGTCACTGATTATTTATATTGAAGTAGCTAATAATTCCAGAAGATTGAATAAAAGTTGTATTTTAAGAAATAGCTCAGGCTTGATCTGTCATTTAATCTTAAAAAAAACTTAGGTGTATTTTAATATGGACATTTTCTGATGTTATATGTCCTGTTTCTGATATAATGAAACAAACAGCTCTTCCTGGAGCTCTGAAGCCTTCTACTGTCTGCTTTGTGGGCATTTCTGCTTAGTCAAGTCAGATCCGACTCATGGCGGCCGCTCCGTGGGTTTCCAAGGTGGTGTCACTACAGAAGATTGCCTGATCTTCCTTCCAAGAAGTGGCTGGTAGGTTTGAACCGCCAGCCTTCTGGTTAGCAGTCAAATGCCTGAGGCACTATATCACCAGAGCTCCTAGATGTCACTAGATATTTTAAATATGTCCCAAACGGACTACATCCTTCCACCCAAACCTGCCCTCTGTCTTGTATTTCCTGCCTCAGTGACTGTTCCACTTTGCCATGGCTCAAGTCAAGTATGCAAGTCAGACTCTGTTTCTCTTCCTTTTCTATTACCAAGAAGGACTCATTCCAAAAGAGAGTGATACAATTTATAATAGACACAAAATATTTCTTTAAACATCTGTGGACTTCAAGTAAATATAAATACTTACTTTTTTCCCCACATGGAATGCACCCCTTTGTGCCTGCAAACATGGGTGGGCAGAAGCCAAAGCTGTGCTAAGGAAAACCTGGTACATCAATCTTGACCATTATTGTCATGTACTGTTCTCCTTTCCCCAGTAAAGTCCTCTTGTGCCTATATTTTGTGCCAGTTGGTCTTCATCACAGAGTATGAGTGGGCTCCCAACTTTAATCAGATATCTGATGAAAGTTTTGTATTCTCCTGATGGGCCCACACCACATCTGTACCAGACCCTTCAGCCAAGAGCTTTATATGTATTAAGGAGCTCTGGAATTGCAGTGGTTAAAGCATTTGACTGCTAACCAAAAGGTCAATGGTTCAAACCCACCAGCTGTTCTATGGGAGAACAATGAGGCAGTCTGCTTCTGTAAAGTTTACAGTCTTGGAAACCCTATGGGGCAGTTCTACAATGTCCTGTAAGGTCACTGAGTCAGAATCAACTTAATGGCAATGGGTTTTGGTTTGGTTACATGTATGAAATTCATTAATTTTCACAACTGACTCATAGAGGTACAGATACTATTATTAGCACACCAATTTTACCAAGGAAATAACTGAGGTGCAGGGAGATTAAGAGACCCACCCAAAGTCACAGAGTTAGTGAGTGGCAGAACCAGGACCCTAAAGCAGAGGACAGACTCCAGAGTCACATTCAACCACTGTGTTACCTTCTGCCATTAGCATTGGCCTTGTTTAATTCTTTTTTGTTTGAGTAATTTCTTAAACACCAGAATCTTCACTACTAAAAAAGAAATTTGGAAAAGCCAAACTGGTAATGAGTATGGCCGTAAAGCATTAAGAAATTTTACATTTGCCTGAGTGAATAAATAATTTCCTCTTCAAAACTTTTAACTCAAAAAATAAGTGCTCTAAACACAATGTGGTAGGTTAGATTCGATCCTGGAACAAAGGAAATTAGTGGAAAAACTGGTGAAATAGTTAATAGACTCATTAGCATACCTACGCTAATTTTTTAATTTTGGCAAAGGTTAATTAAGATGTTAGCATTAGAGGAAGTGGATGAAGGGATATGGGAACTCTCTGTGCTGTCTTTATAACTTTTCTGTAAATCTAAAAGTAAACTCTTACTGCCATCGAGTCAGATCCGACTCATAGTGACCCCTCCTTGGGTTTCTGAGGCAGTATCACTACAGAAGTAGATTGCTCAATCTTCCTTTCGAGGAGTGACTGGTGGGTTTGAACTGTTAGCCTTCTGGTAAGCCTTAGGCACTACATCACCAGAGCACCTAATCTAAAATTATTCCAAAATAAAAGTTTAAAGAAAGAGAATTTTTTATATCAGTATTCATAAAAATTCCCTGAATAGTGAATCTGAATAGCAGTAGCTAAACTGTACTACTTAAAGCACAGAGCTACAATTTGGATTGAATTTATGACAAAATGACCTATGCTCTTGATTTTTATGACTCATTCTAAGACTAAAATTAAATTGGTCTAATTTATAATTGAATTTTTAAATGGCATATTAAAATACATCAGATACATATCCTCACTTTTAGAATTACCAAGGCTGATTCTTTTAAAAATAATAGCTTACTATACAAAGTTCTCTTATTGTATGATAATGGATAATGATGGGACTAGAAAGGCATTCATTTTTAGTATTAAATAATTTTCAAATTATAAGTTATAAAAAAATGATGCAAATTATCAATGTACTCAGTTTCTGAACCTAGGTGACTTAATCATCAGGATTCTCTCACAGTTACCTGTTCAAAATACCTCCTTCTAATAATTTCAGGGGAGCTCTGGTAGCATAATGCCTAAGGCATTTGACTGCTAACCAGAAGGCTGGTGGTTCAAACCCATCAGCCACTCCTCAGAAGGAAGGTTGGGCAATCTACTTCTGTAGTGATTCTGCCTCGGAAACCCAAGGAGGGGTCACTATGTGTCGGGTCCGACTCAATGGCACATACCAACAACAACAACAATAATTTCAGACATGGCTGTACAGATTTTGGTAATGAGCCCTTTATCTGAGATAGATGCTAATCACCCATACAGTAAATAACAGATTTTCTAAGTTGTCATAAAGTGGTGAAACAATAAAATAATTCCAGTAATGGGTATAAAAGGAAAACATTGGTCAGTGAAAAAAAACCAAAAACTATACTCACTGCCATTGAGTCAATTCTGACTCATAGCGATCCCCCATTGGGTTTTCGAGGCAGTGCCTTTATGGAAGTAGATTGCCCAGTCTTGCTTCCACAGAGTGGCTGGTGGACTTGAACCACCAACCTTCTGGTTAGTAGTCAGATAGTAGTAGGTGCTACCAGAGCGTCAGTGGTCAGTAAAAAGCTTCCCAGTATTGCAGCATGATGTGGTGCGTCTGAAGGGTCACATGTGGAGTTTCTCAGGCGCTGGGCCAGCTGGCAGGGCCTGGGGCTGCCATAGAGGGAGTCGTTGGAAGGAATGGTTGCCTGCTGCAGCCTCTTCTATTTAGTATCATTTTCCATACATACAACAATGAGGAAATGGGCGTAGCTAAGCGTTTGTATAACATCCTAAACTTTTCCATGCTACTTATATTCTTCCACTTGCAAAATAAGTTATAACTATAATGCCATATCTCGAAAATGTAGAACTTTTATTTTGTTCAATTTTCAGCTCTTCTGCGCCGTGCCACTGTGTGGAAACATCAAAACAAGCTCCAGGAAGCTGTAAAAGATTTGAGGAAAGTACTGGATGTTGAACCTGATAATGATTTGGCAAAGGTAAGTACAGAGGATGATTTCTTACCTGATTCTCTAGTTTGCTATTTCTGTATTTATGTTGAAGTGATGCAGAAACTACTGCTTTCAGTCATGCTGAATAAATTATATGAGGATTAGGGCACAGCTTTAAAAAAGTAAGTATAGTCCAGACACCCCAAAATGCTGCCATTTATTTGAGCTCAAAGAAAATAGGCTCTTTAAAAAATCATCCAAAGCTACAAATCTATGTCTAAAGGACAAATGATTACTTTTTTTCCTTTCCAGTAGTCAATTGTCAACAATGCTGTTCTCTGCGATAATCTTGATTTATTATGCAGCATGGTACAGAGGCTAGGATTAGGCATGAGCTCTGGGGCCGTAGAAGAGTGTTTCTCTTTATAACACTGATTTGTATGGTTGAACTCAGACTTCTAGCCTTCAAAACCATAAGAGAATAAACTCCTGTTTGTTAAAGCCATCCCATTTGTGGCATTTTCTGTTAGAGTGGCACAAAGTAACCAAACAGTAAGCATAGCTTTGTTGACAGCGCTTACTACTGATTGAACAGACTGACTCAGATAAGTACTGAGGGAGTTATGTATTAAATTGTACAGACAAGTGTCAAGACTGTGAAGGGTCTGAGATTTACTCTACTTGCAAATTAAACAGCTAGCCTAGTAGAAGCTATGGGACTCCTGGGTTAGAGATAAAGACCTTATTACACACAGCATAGCAAGCCGATAAGCTTCATGTTGCCTCAGTTCCCCTTGCTGCCGGGATGGCAACACAGAGTGGCCCGCGCTCTTTTGATTTTACTATAACTTTATAGTAAGTCTTGAGGTCCGATGGTGTTGGTCTCTGACTTTGTTCTTCCTTTTTCATATTTGTTATGTTCTAATTTTTTTTTCCACAGTGGACATGTATAATTAAAATCAGATAGCAATAATGTTTTCATGTTGAAAAGAAAAATAAGAGCACCATAAAAGACTTATCTTAGTTATCTTTATTCATTTTTTAATATCTGCATTTTCTTGCCTAAAAGTATAGTTATTGTTTTCTTTAAAGGAAAATATTTCTTTTGATGTGGTAATTATGTTACAGAAAATCTTGTCAGAGGTTGAAAGAGATCTGAAAAATGCTGAATCTGTATCTAAGACTCAAACCAAAAGAAAAAGGATGGTTATTCAGGAAGTAGAAAACTCCGAGGATGAAGATGGAAAGGACGGTGGAAGAAAACATGAAGAAAGCAGTGGCGACAAGAGTAAAATATGTTTTCTATTCTGGTTATGTCAAAAACTACCTTCTTGTTTGAAAAGCTTTTTCAGTTTTTCTGTTTGTACAGAAATTCTCAAGTTTATCAAACTTTTTCTAACTTGTAAAACCACTAGGAATTTTAGCTCATCTTTTCTTAATAGAGCTTTCTTTGGACTATACCCTGACCACATTCTCCTTAAGCTGGTACCTCTCTGTAGTGTTCAGTTTAATTCCTGATTATTGCCTTTAAACATACATGGTTGCATGTTTCTGATACCGATCATTTGCAAGTTAACCTTAAATATCTCTCTTAGGTGATTGTTTTGTATATATGCACTTGGTTGCAAACAAAAGGCTTAAACGGCTTACAAGGGGGTATGGATAGCCCCATTCATATGTCAGAAATTAATGCAGTTAGAAAATTGTTATTTGTGCTTCCTCAATTTTTTTAAAAAATATAATTTCACTTTGGAAATAATACTTAAGAAAGAATCTAGACTAGATTAAAATTCTTCTTCATAATATAAAGCAATGATAGTTACATCAGTTCTGAGGGAAAATTTCTCCTCACTGGCTTGACAAGAAGGGAGAAAACTTTTTCTTCCTTTTAAAAGCCCTGGAGCAACCGGGGGGAAATACCACTTTTGAAAATCTTTCAAAAGTAAAACTCAGCTTATAGGTAATTTGATAGAATATTTAATTAAAGAGAGAAATATAATATGTTCAATTCAATCAACTTTAAAAGTAAGAACTAGCACAAGGTTTTATTTTTTATATAACCTAAAATACCTACCCACTCACTGCCATTTAGTCCATTCCAATTCAGAGTAACCCTGTAGGACAGGGTAGACTTGCCTCATAGGATTTCCAAGGCTGTCGGTCTTTAAGGAAGCAGACTGTCTCATCTTTCTCCCACAGAGTGGCTGGTGGGTTTGAACTGCTGACCTTTTGATTAGCAGCAGAATCCCTTAATCATTACACTACCTGAGCTCCTTATAACATAAAATTGTTGTTGTTGTTGTTATGTGCTGTTGAGTCGTCTCCAACTCATAGCAACCCTATGTATAACGGAATGAAACACTACCCAGTCCTGTGCCAGCCTCACAATCCCTACTATATCTGAGCCCATCGCTGTAGCCACCATGTCAATCCATCTTGTTGAGGGACTTCCCCTCTTTCATTGACCCTCCACTTTACCAAGCATGCCATCCTTCTCCAGAGAATGGTTCCTTCTGACAACATGACCAAAGTAGGTGAGACCGAGTCAGGCCATACTCACTTCCAAGGAGCATTCCAGCTGCACTTCTTCAGGACAGATTTGTTAGTTCTTTTAGCAGTCTGTGGTACTTTCAGCATTCTTCGCCAGCACCACAACTCACAAGCATCAACTCTTCTTCAGTCTTCTTTATTTGTTGTCCAGCTCTCACATGCATATGAAGCAATTGAAAATACCATGGCTTGGGTTAGGCACATCTTAGTCTTCAAGGAGATATCTTTGCTCTTCAGCACTTGAAAGAGGTCTTTTGCAACATAAAATATTCAGATTAAAATATGATCAGTTGAAACAGGAGAAAGACAAGGAAAGGGAAAAGAGGGAGAGAGAGAGAAAAGGAAGAGACAGAGATTATTAGTGAGCACTAGTGTCAGAGAGAGGTGGGAAAGGAAGTTGTTGTTAGGTGCCTTTGAGTTGGTTCTGACTCATAGTAACCCAATTCACAATAGAACAAAACACTGTCTAGTCCTTCACCATCCTCAGAATCATTGCTATGTTGGAGCCCATTGTTGGAGCCACTGTGTCAATCCAACTTGTTGAGGGTCTTCCTCTTTTTTGCCAACCCTCTACTTTTCCAAGCATGATGTCCTTCTCCAGAGGACTCATTCCTCCTGATAACATGTCCAAATTATGTGAGACAAAGTCTCCTCCTTGCTTTCAAGGAATATTCTGGCTGTACTACTTCCAAGACAGATTTGTTCATTTTTTTGTCAGTTCATTGCATAAGCAATATTCTTTGCCAACACCATAATCCAAAGGCATCAATTCTTCAATCTTCCTTATTCATTGTCCAGCTTTTGCATACATATGAGGTGATTGAAAATGCCATGGTTTGGGTTAGGTGAGTCTTAGTCTGAAGTCTTAATCTTAGTTTGAAGAAAATACCGTGGTTTGGGCCAGGTGCACCTAGTCCTCAAGGTGACATTTTGCTTTTTAACACTTTAAAGAAGTATTTTGTAGCAGATTTGCTTAATGCAATATGTCATTTGATTTCTTGACTACTGCTTCCATAGGCATTGATTGTGGATCCCAGTGAAATGAAATCCCTGACAACTCCAATCTTTTCTCCATTTATCATGATGCTTCTTGTTGGTCCAGTTGTGAGGATTTTTGTTTTCTTGATGTTGAAGTGTAGTCCATGCAGAAGGCTATAGTTTTTGTTTTGTTTTAATTTTTATTGTGATTTGGGTGAAAGTTTACAGAGAAAATTCACTTTTCATATAGCAGTTCATATGCATTTTGTTTCATGACATTGACTGTAGTCCCCACAATGTAACAGCTCTCTTCCTACTTCCTCCCTGTAGCCACCCCCTCCCTGTGTCCTTTCCTATGCATTCCTGTTCCCTGAGCTATCTCCCTGTGCAAATATTGCCCTTCTGTTCTCCCATGATTGGTCATTCCACGGAGCATATCTACCTGGTATAAATATTCACCCTATTTTCCTTTCGTTCTGCTGTGCATGGGGTCGCTATGAGTCGGAAACGACTCGACGGCACTTAACAACAACAACAACAACATATGCCTTTCTGTTGTTTCGCTGGAAGCCACAGGAATGAGTTCAACTCCAGGCCTGATGGCTAACTAGGGGCCATGCTCTTGGGAGTTTCACCAGGCTCTATCATTACAAGTAAGCCTGTTGTGTTTTTTTTCATGATTTTGAGTTTTCTTCCACGCTGTTCTTCCACTGTATCCAGGATCTAAGACCATAGTCTTTGATCTTCATCAAGTGCTTCAAGTCCTCTTTACTTTGTGCAAGCCAGGTTATGTCATCTGCATATCACATGTTGTTAATGAATCTTCCTCCAATCCTGATGCCATGTTCTTCTTCACATAGTCTAGCTTCTCAGATGATTTGCTTAGCATATGGATTGAATAAGTATGGTGAAAGGATACAACCCTGATGCACATCCTTCCTAATTTTAAACCATGCAGTAACCCCTTGTTGTGTTTGAACAACAGCCTCTTGGTCTATGTACAAGTTCTGCATGAGCACTGTCAGGTGTTCTGGAATTCCTATTCTTTGCAATCTTATCCATAATTTGTTATGATCCACACAGTCAAATGCCTTTGCATAGTCAATAAAACACAGGTAAACATCTTTCCGGTATTTTCTGCTTCTAATCAAGATCCTTCTGATATCCTCTTCTAAATCCAGCTTGAATTTTTTTGTAGTTCTCTGTTGATGTACTGCTGTGACTATTTTTTTTTTTTTTAATTGTGATTTGGATGAAAGTTTACAGAGAAAATTCATTTTCCATACAGCAGTTTAAATACACTTTGTCTTATGACATTGATTGCAATTTCCCACAGTGTAACAGCTATCTTCCCACTTCCTCCCCATAGTTATCCCGTGTCCTTCCCATGATTGATTCTCCCATGATCGATCTTTCCAAGGAGCATATCTACCTAATGTAAATGTTCAGCTCATATGCCTGTCTTTGTTTGGCTGGAAGCCACAGGAGTGAGTTCTCAGGGGTCCTACCAGGCTCTATCAAACCTAGTCCCCCTCTTTTTTTTTTTTTCTTTTTTAATGATTTTGAGTTTTGTTCCACATTGTTCTCTCCCTCTATCCAGGATCCCCTATATACATCCTCCTCCAAGTGGTTGTCAGTGGTAGCCAGGCACCATCTAGTTCTGGTCTGACAGTCATATAGGCTGAGAATCGCATGGTGTACCAGTCCCTTGGACTAAGTGTTTCCATGCATCTTTGGTTTTCTTCATTCTTCTTTGCTCTGGATGAGGAGAGAACCATCATTGCATCTAGATGGCTTCTTGCAAGCTTTTAAGATCCCAGTCACTACTGGCCAAAGTAGGATGTAGAACAATGTTTTTGTGTAGTATATTATACCAGTTGAGCTTGATGTCCCCTACAACCATGGTCCTGAGCCCACAGGTCCAACTTTCTCCCGCTCTCCTACCCTGCTGCTTTGGGCGTGCCTGAATTCCTCTCCTCACCTGGATGCCTGCGGCTGTAGGATCTTGGCTCAAGGCTCAAGGCAAAGAATACCAGAAAGATGTTGACTTGTGTTTTATTG